AAAGAGAATATAGGGAGGGGAGGTGAGGCCTGGGGAACAGAGGGGAAGGCAATATAGGGAGAGGAGGAAGGGAATATAGGGAAGGGAAGGGGGAAGGGGAAGAGAGGAGGGGTGGGGAAGGGAGGGGACGGAGGGAGTGGAGAGGAGGGGAGGGGAGGGGAGAGAAGGGGACGGGAGGGGCTGAGCCAGAGGAGCTGGCTGTGCCCCACAATGCAGCCCATACCCTCCCTACCTTTAGTTGCATCCCAGAAGACACAGGTGAAGGTCATGTTCTGAAACCAAAGAATGGGAGTCAGGAAACAGGAAAGGGGAAGGTTGGGGGAGGGCAGGGGAAGCGGGAGGACGCTGTGCTCCCTTGGGTCCTAGCGGAGTGTGCGTGAGGTAGAAAGCAAGCTTCACGCCCATGGGCTGCATAGAAAAATTAAGTGCATCATTTGATGAGCCCTTGGCCGACTGCGGTGTGGGGCTGTGGGCGGGGTGGGGGTTTGCCTGTTTGTGTGCATGTGCGTGTGTCAGGGAGCCTGCATGTGGAGCATGTGGAATGCCGTGTGGATGCAGGTGGGCTTGCCAGGTCCTCATGTGCGCCTCTAGGGTGTGTGGCCTTGGACCTAGGTATGTGTATGGCCCTAATGACTCCTCCTGGGTGGCTGTGGAAGGGTAGGGACTGATGTGCAGTGTCCCATGCAGGGCCCATAGGCCTGGGTGTGCCCACCCACCTGTCTGCCCCACAGTGACTGCCAGGCCTGGGCGGGGGACTCACGGGGGGTGGACGCTGGTGGGAGAAGATGATCTCCAGAGGCTCAGCCAGCCTGGTGACACGCATTCGTCCCAAACTCAAGCCCACCAGGCGATTGTTCAACACGCTGCTGCCATCCCCCAGGCTGAGCTGGGGGCCCTGTGAGGGGGGAGATCAGGGGGTCAGGCTGTAGAAGGGGCCATCCCGACCCACCCGGGCTGGGGTTCCTAGCAGCCTCCAAGAACCCATGGCCCTTGCTTGGAGGGCGGGAGTTCGAGGCCAGGGGACCAAGGGGCTAAGGAGTCACAGGCAGCCTCCTCCCTGATGCTCCCGGTGGCCTCCTGCCTGGGCTGGGCCAGGTCAACTGGCTGCAAAGCTGTGCACATGACCACTCTCCGCTGCTGGCCTCCAGAGCTCCTCTGCCCTCTTAACTAGAGGGGGCACAGGGCCAAGATCAGCCAAGAAATGGAAGTCAGTGGGGAGGACAGCGTGTCCCTGAGGGTCTTAGCATGAGTGTACATCAGTAGAAAGGGGGCTGGTGGGGGGAGCACAGCCCTCAGGGGTACACACGTCTGCGCATGAGTGGACGCACACCTCTGGGGTGTGCATACCTGGTACACGTATGTGCAAGGGCATGGCTGCACTCGCTCGTGTGGATATGATCACACCTGAGCACAGGGGATGCTGTGTGCACAGGAATAGAAAGGACATGCATGTTTGTGCACACACAAGGACACACAAGGGCACATGAGCACCCTCAGGACACAGGTACAGTCAAAGGTCACTGATGTATGGGGTCAGACATCTGAGAGCCTGTGACCAGTGTGAGTCTGAAGGCCACAGTCTCTAGCGACAGGGGTCTGGGATGACCATGGGCTGCATTAGAAACACTAAGAGGCTCACCGCCTGCTCTGTCCCCATCGGATGCCTCAGCAGACGCCAGTGACTGCAAGCTGTGGCATGGGGCCCAGAGGACCTAGCACCTGACCTCGGAGCTTCCCCGAGTCCTCACCTTGAAGAGAGTCCCCGGACCGATGTCCAGAACAGTGATGGCCAAGCGGACCGCAGACCTATTGCCCGGCAGGGATTCGAAAAGGCTCTTGGGAAGTCGCACTCTGTCAGGGGGCTTGTCCTCATCCTTCATCACCTGCCTTGGAACCTACAACCACAGACTCAGCAGCTCCATCTGTACCCAGCCTCCAACACAGGTCCTGCCACTCCCCCAGCTGGGAGGGGAAACTGAGGCATACTGGGTCGGGGCAGCACCTGAGGACTGTCAGGTCTGAGAGGCAGGATGCTTGGGGCACAGTGCAAGCTCTGCTCCTCACGGGCGGTGCATCCCTAGACAAGTTACAGCCCTTATGGAGCCTCGGTTTTCCCGACACAGGGGACAGACCTAACCTTGTGCCTGCTTGGCCACCTGACGCCTGGGCAAGCTGAATGTGCAAGTGTGAGGATGGCTGAAGGCCGTGTGCTTTTGGCCAGGGCCCTAACAGTCCCACTGTTTACACAAGGCTTGATGGTGACAGTGTCTGGCTTCTGACTCAGGGAGAAATGGAAAGAATAAAACCATCAGGAAGGAAGTTGAGGAAGGGAGAGAACGAGGGCAGAGGGGGACACGCATATTTACTCTGAATGTGAAATCCTCCCCACCCAACAAGCACAACGCAGTTTTAAAAAACAAAGAATGGTCAAAATATTGAAATACATATCAGTGGTCATTGCAAAGCATTTTTTTTTGAGACCAAGTCTCGCTGTTATTGCCCAGGCTGGAGTGCAATGGCTCAATCTCTGCTCACTGCAATCTCCGCCTCTCAGGTTGGAGTGATTCTCCTGCCTCAGCCTCCCAAGTAGCTGGGATGATGGGCATGTGCCACCATGCCTGGCTAATTTTGTATTTTTAGTAGAGATGAGGTTTTACCATGTTGGTCAGGCTGGTTTCAAACTCCTGACCTCAGATGATCCCCCCGCCTCAGCCTCAAAAAGTGCTGGGGTTGCAGGCGTGAGCCACCGCGCCCAGCCACAAAGCATGTTTCCTTCATTCTCTGAGCCCCCTGTCCCCGCAAGGGCTACAGCCTGAGCCACCCGGGGCCTGCCTCAGAAGCACCACATGTGCATTGGCACAGGGGGGCTATCATTGGAGCCGAAGGCCCCAACTTTCTCCGTCCCGGTCCAGACTCTCATAGAAAGGACAGGTGGGTGATTTCTGGGGCCAGTGCCTAAGCCAGGGAGAGGGCTCCACTGCTTGAGTGACATAACAAAGTGTTGAGGAAAAAATCTATCTTCCATTTCCCTTTCTTCAGACAAACCCAAAAGTCCCTCATTCCTAACCAACCCACCTGGGTGCCTCAGCCTCTACCACCATGTCCATTTCTTCCAGAAGGCCGGAGACTTTCTGAGCCCTCGCTGCCCCAAGTATTCTCTGTGCCTTATCTCATTTGTTCCTCTCATTCGTCTTTTGTTTGTTGTGTGTTTTGTTTGTTTTTGTAGAGATGGAACGTCACTGTGGTGCCCAGGCTGGTCTAGAACTCCTGGCCTCAAGCCAGCCTCCCAAAGTGCTGGGATTGCAGGTGTGCACCACTGCACCTGGCCATGTTCATCTTAAAAGTGGGCAGTACCTTCATCTTTTTACAGATAGGGAAACCGAGGATCAGAAAAGTCATTTGCCCATGATCACAAGGGCAGAGCTGGGATTTGAATCCGCCCAGCATAAATCCAGAGTCCACCCATTGAACCCTTTCCCTCATTTCAACTATATTGCTTCAGCAGAAGAGCTCATGGGAATTTTAGGCGTGGAGGAGCCTTAGAGCTCATTTTACAGGTGCAGCTCTGCCAGTCGGGTTGTGGGGGGAACAAGCCCTGATGGGCACCAATCACAGGATATAACTCTCTTAGAGTTTTGAAATATTGTTCAAGAAAGATAGGGTCTGAACCAGCCAAGGGGGCTGGGGAGCTCTTCACCTGAGAGGGCTTGAGAGAGAAGTACAGGTCTTCTGCGGTGCTGGTGCTGACGTTCTGGACCAAAGCCTTCAGGAAAGACGTGTTCACCTTCTCCGTCAAGGCTTCCTCCACCAGGTGGGCCTCGTAGTTTAGCCAGTATCTGCAAGGGGCCAGGGACAGCGGGAGGGTAGAATCCTGCGGGCTGAGTTACTCACTCCTTGGGCTCCTGGGGTGAGAGGGCTGACCCAAACTATCAAAGTAAAGACCCTGGGATCACAGCAGGAGGAAGAAAGGTAAAGGTGGCTTGGGAGCCACCCAGACTGCTCCTGCAGGATTTCAGCTAGGAGTCCCCTCTGAGTATTTTATGCATTCGTCTTTTTTTGTGTGTGCATGTGGTAAAATACATATAACATAAACTTTACCATCTTAATAACTTTAAAATGTCCAATCCAATGGCATTAAGTAATTCACAATGTTGTACAACCATCATGCTGTCTAGTTCCAGAACATTTCATCACCCCAAAGGAAACCCATACCCATGAAGCATGCCCCTCTCCCTTCCCCTGGCTTCTGCAATCACTAATCTACTTTCTGTCTTCATGAGTTTGCCTATTTCAGATACCCCACACCAATGGAATTATACAATATGCAGCCTTTTGTTTCTGACTTTCATCAGCGTAATGTTTTCTGGGTTCACCCAAGTTGTAGCATGTACCAGTATTCCATTTTATTTTGTTTTTGAGATGGAGTCTTACTGTGTCGCCCAGGCTGGAGTGCAGTGGTGCGATCTCAGCTCACTGCAGCCTCTGCCTCCTGGGTTCAAGCGATTCTGCTGCCTTAGCCTACTGAGTAGCTGGGATTACAGGTGTGCACCACCATGCCCAACTCAATTTTTGTGTTTTTAGAAACATGGAGTTTCAGTATGTTGGCCAGACTGGTCTCGAACTTGTGACCTCAAGCGATCCGCCTGCCTCAGCTTCCCAAAGTGCTGGGATTACAGGCGTGAGCCACTGCACCTGGCCCTATTTCTTTTTTAAAATTCCTTTTAGTAGAGTCAGGGGTCTCACTCTATTGCCCAGGCTGGCTTTGAACTCCTGGCCTCAAGTGATCTTCCTGCCTCAGCCTCCCAAAGTGCTAGGATGACAGGCGTGAGCCACTGTGCCTGGCCCTTGTATTTCTTTTCTTTTTATGGATGAATACTATTTCATTGTATGGAGAGATCATATTTTGATTATGCCTTCACCCATTGAGGGACAATTGGAGATTTTCCTCTTTTTTTTTTTTTTTTTTTTTTNTTTTTTTTTTTTTTTTTTTTTTTTTTTTTTTGGCTATTGTGAAAAGTGCTGCTACAAATATTCATGCACAAGCTGCTGCTTTATTTTTATTTTTATTTTTATTTTGAGACTGAGTCTCACTCTGTCACCCAGACTGGAGTGCAGTGGAGTGATCTTGGGTCACTGCAACTTTCGCCCCCTGAGTTTAAGCAATTATCCCACCTCAGCCTCCCAAGTAACTGGGATTACAGGTGCCTGCCACCTCGCCACGCTAATTTTTCTTTCTACTGAAAACCCTGTTTTCAGTAGAGACAGGGTTTCACCATGTTGGCCAGGCTGATCTCAAACTCCAGACCTCAAATGATCTGCCCACCTCGGCCTCCCAAAGTGCTGGGATTACAGGTGTGAGCCGCCGTGCCTGGCCCATGTACAAGCTTTTATTTAGAGACTTGTTTGAAATTCTTTTGGGTATGTACCTGAGCAGCACAAAGAGGAGCCTCTGAACAGCTCTGGGGTGTTAAGAAGTTGCTGGATCAGCTGCAGGTGGGGAGGGTAGTGTTTTCAGGCCACTGAAGTAACGATCCAATGAGATTGCTGTCCTAACACCAAGCCTGAGAGCAGGCTTTCATTCCTTTAACACATGTTTACTCAGTACTAATACAAGCCAGGTGCTTTTCTAGGTATCCTGGAAGAGTTATGGGCAACTTTGATTAGGAGTGGAAGAAGGAAAGAGAGGCAGGGATATTTTTGGAGATGGCTCCTGAAGACGTCGTATTCTAAACCCCTCTGTCTCCCTCACCCCTGCGTCTAACCAGTCTCTTGTCTTACTGAGCCTCCATCGTGTCATCTTTCCCTCCATCTCCCCTTTCCAAGCACACCATGCCAGTTGCTGCTGGTGGTGCTGGCTCGGCCCTCACTCCCACCCAGGACCCTGTAGTGCGTCCTACGGGGTCATGACTTCCTGCATCACCACCCCATCACCGTTCATGAGGCCTGAGCAATCTTTCCAAAATGCAGAGTTGACTATACTCTACCTGTGCTTAAAATATGTCATTGCCGGCCAGGTGCGGTGGCTCACGCTTGTAATCCCAGCACTTTGGGAGACTGAGGCTGGTGGATCATGAGGTCAGGAGATCGAGGCCAACAAGGTCAAACCCAGTCTCTACTAAAAATACAAAAATTAGCTGGGCGTAGTGGCACACACCTGTAATCCCAGCTACTTGAGAGGCTGAGGGAAGAGAATAACTTGAACCCAGGAGGCGGAGATTTCAGTGAGCCATGATCATGCCACTGTACTCCAGCCTAGCAACAGAGTGAGACTCCATTTAAAAAATAAAATAAAATAAAAAGTCATTGCCTTGCTGCACCCCCCATTGGTATAGCTTACACAATCCTTCACACATTAGTCTCTGCCTATATTTCCAGTCCTATCTCCCACCCATAGCATCTCCCTATTGCCTCTTCCATCCCCAAGCAGTTTACATTGTTACAGTTCAAAGCATTGAAAGTTATCCCCGAATACTCTCAGTTCTGCTGTCTGTATCCCCACCATTGCTTAGATCCAACTGGAAAACTCCTATGCACCCTTCAAAGCCCTTTCTGGGTTTCCTCCTCTGTGAAGCCTTGGCCGACTTCCCTCCTGCGGGCTAAACTGGCACCTTGTCTGCCCTTCTGTATACACTCTGGAGTCATCATTATTTGGGTCTGTGTCTGTCCTTCCACAACTCCCAAGGGCTGGGATAGGAGTGGATTCATCTCTGAATCCCCTAGATCAGTAGGGATCCCAATTGCCAGAATGGAGGTGTTGGGTCTGGGGACTGTGGTGTCAAACAAGGTGGAAGGGTGAGATGGGAGCGGCATTTTCTGGGGCCTTGGGGGCAGATGGCCCCATCCCATCCTGAAAGCCCCCCCTCCTGGCAGCTTCAGATTCCCCCTCCAGCTCAGGGGACCCCCTTACTTCTGCAAGTTTCCCACATCGCAGGGCTCGCTCTCCGACTGCCTGCACTTGGTGAAGCACCCAGCCTTGTCTTTCAAGTCAAATGCGCCGTACTCATCCAAGTTGTCCCCCAGGCAGCTGTGTCTTGGCTCTTCAGTGCGGTTTTCCTGACCTAAGGAAGGGATGCAGAGAGTGTGGATGGGCTGGACGAAGATGGGCAGCAAGGAGGAGGAGGGGGAAAGGAGCTGGGGCTCCAGAGTCTGGTGGTTGGCCTGGAACCCAGCGCCATGCATCACGTTAACAGTGCACTTGAGCGGGACGCAAACCCTCTCTCGGGCTGTATCCAAGGTGAAAGGAAATGTCCCATCTCCCAGAGCTGGTAGGATGCTTTGGGGAAAGCATGTACAAAAGGCTTGGCACATGACTCTGTAAATAAGAGGTTTCATATGTTTGTGCTGTTACTCCTTTACCCCTTCCTCCAGGGAGTCTTCCTGGCTTCTCACAGTTATTCCACATCAGACCTTCTAAAGCCCTCACAGCTGTGGACTCTTGTGGAACTCTTGGATGCCTTCTGTCTTGGTTTGCCACGTTCTCCCATGTTTACACTACAACCCTCACGGCTACCTCCCGGGACAGGCAGAAAATGCAGCAAACCAAGGCCTCTCGAGCAAAATGACTTGAGAAAGGTTGCTAGCTAGTTGGAGTTTGCTCCGGGACTGAAGACCAGCTTTTGTGACTTTAAGCTCAGTTCCTTTTCACCTAACTCAGGGCATGAAGTGAAAGCTTTGAGTCATCTAGTAGCTGTAAGTCCCAAAGCAAGTTACTTAAACTCTCTAAGGCTCAATCTTTTGCCAGCAAAATGGAGCTAATAATGCGTTCCTTCTGAGTTTTGGGAAGAATTAGAGATAAAGGACATAGCTCATTGCAGTTGTTCAAAGAGTTACCACCTTTAACGGTTTATTGCACAACCTTCTGGAAATTTTGCAGAAGGCATGCATATGCAAGTATTTATAAGCACATCATTTTTTTTAAATTTAAAACCATTTTCATTGAGAAGAGTGGGTCCTCACTATGTTGCCCAGGCTGGCCTCAAACTCCGGCCTCAAGCGATCCTCCCACCTCGGCTGCCTAAGTGCTGGGATTACAGGCGTGAGCCACCATGCGTGGCCAATACATAATTTTTAAATGTACGCAAACAAAATCACTTAGCTATATATCTTTTTTCTTTTCCTTTGAGACAGAGTCTTGTGCTGTCACCCAGGCTGGAGTGCAGTGGCATGAGCTCAGCTCATTGCAACCTATGGCTCCCAGGCTCAATAGATCCTCCAACCTCAGCCTCCCAAGTAGTTGGGACTACAGGCACATGCCACAATGCCCAGCTAATTGTTCATTTTCTTATATTTTTTATTTTATTTTTTGTAGAGACAGGTTTCACTGTGTTTCCCAGGCTGATCTCGAACCCCTGGGCTCAAGGGATCCGCGAGCCCTGGCCTCCCAAAGTGTTGGAATTTATAGGCATGAGCCACCATGTTTGGACAAGCAATGTATCTTGAAGAACTTTCCACCTCATTCTTTATATTGCTGCAAACTATTCCATTCCATGGGCATTGCAAGCCTTTTTTAACCAGTCTCCTGTTGGTGGACAATGATTTTCACAATCTGCCCTAAGAATTGCTGAGTGTGCATCTTTTCAGCTTGTGTTAAGAACTCATAGAAAACTTTCGTATCATAGGACTATCTGGATCTAACTATGTGCTTTAAAACTCTGCCGGGAAGTCCAGGTGTGGTGGCTCACACCTGTAATCCCAGCACTTTGGGAGGCTGAGGTGGGTGGATCACCTGAGGTCAGGAGTTTGAGACCAGTGTGACCAACATGGGGAAACCCTGTCTCTACTAAACACAAAAATTAGCCAGACCTGGTGGCAGGCACCTATAATCTCAGTCACTTAGGAGGCTGAGGCAGGAGAATCCCTTGAACCTGGGAGGCAGAGGTTACAGTGAGCTAAGATCGCACCACTGCTAAGATCTCCTGGACCACAGAGTGAGACGCCATCTCAAAAAAAAAAAAAAAGAAAAAGAAAACATTCCTATCATAGGACTTTCTGTATGTGCTTTCAAAAACTGCCGGGTGTTATTGAATTTCCCTCCAAAAGCTGGTGCACCTATTTAAAGTCTCATCAAAAGTGGGTAAGAGAGACTATTTATCCACATGCCTGTTATTCTATAGTTTACTAAACTTCTATATTTTTGCTAGTCTGAGAGATGACATTGAATCTTATTTTCATTTAAGGAGTTTGAGCACCTGCCTGTATATTTGAGGCCAATTATATGTCTTCTACTCCGAATTGCTTTGCCATGTCCTTCTCCCATTGATGATGGGACGTGGTCTCAGCTCTGCCTCCTCATTTTTTGGATTACCCCCCCAGAAACTGTTAGGGGAGCTCCCTGTGCGATGGGCAGTGCTGGGGGTGAGGTGGGCAGGGGCTCATTTGCTTTCCATTTTTTATTTCCCTCTCTGCTGTTTGATTTTTAAAAAATCATGTCCACTATTACTGTCACTTAAAACAAAACTGTTCATTTGAAAACATGAAGACAAAAGAAAAATAAAATACACGATAAAAAGAATGGCTGAATAAAGAGTAATGGCAGGGTAAAAACATTCGGGAGTGGATTTTGTAATAATGGATTCTACATGTGACAATTCGTTTTAGACAGCTTATAAAGGAACTTTAAATTTCTGTTAGATTGTAAAGATATTTATGATGCATTGTTTAATGGGAGATGCAAATGATAGATGAGCATGCATGTAATATGATCCATGTTTGCTTTTATATAAAGGGGAGAAGAGGGAGAGGAGGAGGAAGACAGAAGCAGGGAGAGGAAGAGAGGAGAGAAGAGGAGGGGATGGGAGGGGAAGGAAGAGGACAGGAGAGGAGGGGAGAGAACATGGTCCGCTTGAGGGCAAGTGCCATTCTCTGCCATCCCGGCCCTGCTGTCGTGAATGGGCACAAGTGCAGGCAGCCTGCTGGTGGGTGACATCAGAGCCTCCCTCCCTTCCTGCCAAGAATTTCAGTGCAGGCGTGTAAGTGAAGCTCTTGGCAAACACCCTGAACAGAGATGATCGTTAAATATCTTTTCTGTGTGTATTCTTTGAAGCACTTCATGTAGACAAGGAGACCCTGCGCTAGGCCTGTGGGTGGGATAGCGCCCCCTCCTCTCCAGGCCCTCTGTGCTCTAGAGCCTGGCCTCCGTGGACTGCCTCACTTGGGGTTCAGCAAATGGGGAGTGGACTGGAGGTCAGAGGGCAGGAGGAGGGCAGGGTGGACATTCGCCCCCACCCCGCACGGCTCCCTCAGCCCCCGCTGGCTCACCGCGAGCAGACCACCACCATTCCCCTCCCGCAGCCACAGTCTGGCTCCAGAAGCTCAGGTGGCCAGACCTCACGGTGCCGAAGGCTGCCCCAGGTGCCAGCCTGCCCAGCAACCACCCTGCTTGCTCCCCATGCCCTGCCCACACCTTTGTCACGCGTCTCTTTATGGCAGACACCCCCACTGCATCTGTCCCCTGCTCAGCCCTAACAGCTGGGTCCCACATGCTGGTGCCCACCACACTGCGTCACTCCTGCAGACTGTGAGCCTTTTGAGGGTGGGGGCCAAGTGGTACCAGCAGGAGCAGAAGGCACCATTGATGCTTCTTAAATGAATGAGTGAACGAATGGGCAGATGAACGGAGACTAACACATAACTGTCCACACAGGAGGGAGTCTTACTTCTGGGTGTAGACCTGTCAAAGCTCCTCACTTGATCAAAGGGCTGCGGCTCTGCCCCAACCAGAGCATGCACGTCACCACGCAGAAAACAGCATCACCTAGAGGAGCCTTGAAGGCCCAACCAGCAATGACGGCTGGGACCTGAGGCCGCCCATGAGCCCCGGTCACAGCTGCCATCGGTGGCTCCATTCATCCATCCATCAAGGGCCGCCTGGTGGCCTGCTCTGTACCAGGACCTCCCGCAGCCACTAGGAGGACAGTGCTGCCATCTCCACCCTGTTTTTGAGCCAGGGACTGATTCACTCCACTGAATCTCCTGATGTTTGAAGAGAAGAGGGTTCTTTGAAGTCCAAAGAGGTTGATCTATGAGGCCAAAGCCATGTGACCACACACTGGACACCCAGGGAGATGGACATGCAGGCCCCTGACCAAGTCAGGAGCAAAATGAGAGCAGCCCGCAAGACCCTGAGACAGGAGCACTAGGGAGGGAGCACTCAGGAGGGAGCACCTCCCTCTGTCCCAGAGGGTTGCTAAGTTGCCACAGAGGCCAAGAAGAGTAAATGGAGCCGGTTAGGTGGGCAAGGGGTAGGGGGGCAGCTTTTCTGGGAGAGAGGCCAGCAAAGGCAAGGCCCGGGTGCTTCCACGGCCTCTGGAGATGCACCATGTGTTCCCGTGTGAGACGGGAAGGTGACAGGGAGGAGTGTGGATCCTGGCTCAGGCCATTGAGGACCAAGGGGCCATGGCTGAGACTGGGAGAGGGGGCCAGGTGGGGTGGTGTGTGTGGGAGGAGAGGGCCAGGCGAATGAGGTGGTAGGCCTTCCTGGCCTCAGCTTCCCGAGTGTCCGAATCCCATCCCCAGTATCCCACAAGCCAGCTGGAGAATCGCCTGCCCAGAGCCGACCCTGTCCCACAGCCAGGCCTGTCAGGGAGCCGCAGCCCAGGCCGGGGAGTCACGAGCACCCTCTGACCTCCCCTATCTCCAGGGCACTGTGGGGCAACCACGGGAACCCGAGAGCAAGGTTTAGTGGGAGGACAGGATTGATCCAAAGGGACAGGGCTAGAGGAGGTGCTGAGGTGGCTACGGGGGACTCTCGGAGGACACTTCCCAGACATCCCAACTCCTCACCCTCTCCTGTCCCTGCCTCTGTCTCTGGCTCCCTCCCTCCCTCCACAGGGCAGGGTGAGTGTGAGAAGCCAGCCACTTACCTAAGGCCAGGAGCAGGAGAAGCTGGAGGAGCAGCGCCCCCAGGGCCCTGGGCATCGCCATCCTTGGCCAGCCTTGCCCACGCCACTAGAGTCCTGCAGCTGTCTGGCCCTCTGGCCCCAGGCTCTGCCGAGCTGGCCTGCCCCCACCCTGCGGCCCCACCGCTCTGGCTTCCTGTGTCCTCTTTCTCACCCTTCCTGCTCAATGGCGCCATCGGTTGGGTTGTGAAAGGTGAGTGTGGGGAACTGGGCAGTGTTCCCAGCCGCACCGTGCCCAGGAGGCCACCTGCAGAGGGAGATGCTGAGCCCACCCAGGGATGTGCCCCAGGGTCCCACTGGGGTGGGATCTACTAGGCAGAGGGGTGGGGGCATTGAGTGGCCACAGAGGCCTTGCCCTAGAGCAGACCCCTGGGAACTATGATGTGCACAGGCGTGGAGCCAGGTGCACCTACTCAGACCCCTCCTTTCACAAGTTGGGGGCCTCTCTGAGCCTCGGTTTCGTCCTCTGTAAAGTGAAGATGGCAATGGGGCTGCCTCCTAAGGCTTGTCAGGGTTTGATGAGACCTGCAATAATCTGAGCACAGCCTGGCTCTGGGCATGAGGGCAAAGACCCGGATGATGCCTAAGGCTTGAACCAGGCTGGAGGGCATGGGAGAGCCAGAGCTGGCCTGTGGCCCGAGCCTCCCCCACCAGCTTGGATAACAGGACGGACTCAGAGACAGGGTAGCGGGAAGACAGGAGTGCGGCCCCAGGGGTTGGTCAGGCCTGGCCTGACATCCGTCCTGACCACTTCCTGGCTGAGTGGCTTTGCACAAGCTGTCTGTCACTGGAGCCTCTCGAGGCATGTGATGCACTCACGGATGACGCATGCAGAGCCGCTTGGCTGGTGGGCGTGGCCATTGTATCATTTCTGATCAGCAGTGCTGTGAAATCGCAGTCTCCCCACCCCAGCCAGTCACCAATCGGACGGGAAGCGGGGGCAGCAAACACGCCTGGGCTTCAGCCTAAAGGAATCAGGGAGCCAGCCACTCGAGCTTCAACTCTAGAGGCCCCAGGGAGGCACAGTGGATGAGCCTAGGGCCACCTGGAGATCGGAAGGTGAAGGACACCCTGCCAAGGTGTGTGGTCACTGGCACCTCCCTCTGGCCCATGGCGCTGGCACTGCCCTGCTCAGCCTTGGGGTTGAACTGGGGAGCCGCTCGGTCCCTGCTGGCCTCCATTTCCCCTTCCTCCCACTCAGTGTCTTCTGCTGAGCCCTCTGGGTCTGGGAAGGGGTGGGGAGGTGATGTCTGGGTCACTCGCAGGGTGGGAGCGAGTGGGAATCCAGCATGGAGCAGCAGGTCAGAGCCCAGGGCTTCCTGAGCCCCAGAAACTTCCTCTGCAGGGAGGGTCGCGAACGCAGATGAATGGCGGGCCTGCCACTGCTCCACACCCTCCCAGCCTTCTCCTACACGACCTGCCGGCCTCCCTCCCAGCTGCAGGTGAGGGTGGGGTGGGGCGGTGGACTTGGATGAGCTGGGCCTGTCACTGGAGACCCATCCTGGCCCTGGGCCCCCAGAGAGTCTCACAGGTACCAGTGTGTGAAGAGGGGCCTGGGGTTGACTGGGCTGGGACTCCAAGCACCCCACCCACCTTGGAACGTGGGATCAGGGCACCTGGGGGGAGGACAGGGGAAGGTCAGGCTGGAAGGAGAGGAACCTTCCCCCACAACCCCTTCCCAAAAAGGCCCCATGGGGACCAGGGACTGGCCTGGAGTCACTCACAGAACGCTGAGACCCCCGAGTCCCAGCGCCAACAAAACAGTAGTATCCCTTCCTGCCACCTCCTGCCCCAGCTTCTCCCAATGGCTCCAGTGGGCAGGGCCTCAAGTCCTCCAGCCAGACCCGGCCAACATTCAGCCTTCAGCCACTCCAATTCGATTCTCAAGCTAGAGGGATGTTTCCAGATGCAGGCCTAGCCACGTGCTGGCAGAAAGGGTGATCCCGCTGTCCAAAGCCCCACAGCCCAGGAAAGTGCATGATAAGAACAATCAGGTCAAAGGAGCAGCACAGAGCTGTGAGTGCCCCATTCAGGGCCTTCCCCAGAAGGTGAGACCCAACCCAAGACCCCTCCCCATTGCTTGAGCCAGCCTCGGACACAGAAACTAGACGTATGAGAAGTGGGAGAATTGCAGGGTGGGGGTGGCGGTCTCTTCCTGGGTCCTTTCCCTCCCTTCTGGAGGATGTGGGGAGTTGCCTCAACCCCCACCCCAGGACCTAGCCCAGCTATGGGGCTCTGAGAGACCCCCTCACGGAGACCTAGAGGCCTATAAGGAGGGAAGCTGGCTCTGATCCCCCCGGCTGCCCAATCCTGACACAAGGGTGGGGGAAGCTTGGGAAGGTTTGGCCTCTGTCCTCTGGAGCTGGAGGCATAAGAGGAGCCCCCCACCTGCAGATCTTATAAAACGTTTTACGGGTTTTTAAAATGTGATATTCTTCTGTGAACACCCACTGTACTTCAGTATCTTCACGTTTTAAGGGCTTCCTGTGTTCTGACACTGTTATATTTCAGAAAGAGAAACATGCACAGCTGTAATTATAAGGTTTTGGCCGGGCGTGGTGGCTCACGCCTGTAATCCCAGCACTTTGGGAGGCCAAGGAGGGTGGATCACGAGGTCAAGAGATCGAGACCAGCCTGGCCAACATGGTGAAACCCCATCTCTACTAAAAGTACAAAACAATTAGCCGGGCGTGGTAGCAGGCACCTGTAATCCCACCTACTTTGGAGGTTGAGGCAGGAGAATCGCTTGAACCCAGGAGGCAGAGGTTGCAGTGAGCCAAGATTGCGCCACTGCACTCCAGCCTGAGCGACAAGACCAAAAACTCTGTCTCAAAAAAAAAAAAAAGAAAGAAAAAAAAAAGGCAGGCAGTCTGGCTACATGGGCCCTCATTCCTACAAGGCAGTGACCAACTGGAGCTGATGAGCAGCTGCCCCCTCAGCGTAGGATTGGAAGTCTCCAGTTTGCCACAGACCCCACCACTCCCCATGGCCTCCCCAGCATAGACACCAAGTTGCCATTTATTTTCCCCTTTTCCCTGGCTGATGAGGTTTCTAGCAGTCCACTTTTTTTTTCTTCACACACAGCTCTCTTCTCTCTTTCATGTTTCCTGATTGGCCCCAAGGTGTTTGTATCAGTGACTCTTTTAGTAGGAGCACAGGAAAAAGCTCAGAAGGAAATGCCCCAACATGTTTACGCCAGTTAGGTGTAACGGCAGCTGATTTTAATTTTACTTCTTGATTCTCTTCTACAGTTTCCAAGTTCTCTACAATGAACATGTACTTCTTTTTAATATCAAAAGACAAAAGAATGGGTACTAAAAAGAGCATCTTTCCCATCTTTAAGGTCAAGATCACACGCTACCTCCTGCAGGAAGTCTTCCGGGATTCCCAGCCAGGAATGATGGCTCCCTCTCCTCGTGTCTGTAGCTCCTGGAGCTCTTGCTTCATGCATGCCTCACATACCATGCTGAGGGTTGGCAGGGGGAGTGACCAGGTCGGTCATCCATGTCCCTACCACCTAGCACAGGCCAGAGCAATAGACCCACGTGTGTTTGTTGGACATAATTAACCATGATGGGGGCTGAGTGTGCCTGCAGCTATTTGCAGGGCTTAGGGGTTGGCTCTAGGCCAGTGTCACCAGAGGAGGTTGGTCTCAGTCCTTGGAGTGCTGGGATGCAAACCAGGTGGGATTGCCATGGTCCACAGTTCTTGCCACAAGAGGGCATCAGGAGAGGCCGTGGCCCCTGTGAGGTGTGTGCTTAGTCAGGGTGCGCAGGGGCAATGCAGCTCAGAAGAAGGCCCAGACGGACAGAGGGACCTGCCCAGCCCAGGCATCTGTACTGAGCCTGGGTCAGGGGCAGGCCAAGGCTTGTGCAGTAGACAAACGTTTACAGCAGACACCAGGCGGCTCCTGGAAACCACGCCCCACAAAACAGCATTGGAATAGGGGACCCCAGGCTGTGAACGAAGGAGCGGGGAGGTCCTGGGAGAGGAGAACCCCGGGGAAGACGGAGGGAGGGCTGGGAGGTGATGGAGGGAGGGGCCTGGGCTCAGAGGTAGGCGAGCTGCTGCTGTGCTCCTGGCAACGGGCTTCTCCTTCCCCAGGGCTCTGGCCCTGAAGCTCTGCCCGGGGCCCCATTTGCCCTGGGTGCCACCTGAGGTTAAAATGACAGAGGATGCAGAACACCCTCAGGGTGATCACGAGAGACAGAGCAGCTGGAGCCACGTGTCTGTCCCAGGCAGGGGCATAGGACTAAGGCTGTGCCAGACCCTCAAGATCCAAGGCCCGGCTCCCAGCAACGAGGCTGGGCCTGGGGTGGTGGGGAGAGAACAGGCCTCCACCCAGATTAGGACAGATGTGGGGACAGTCCCCCAGCCAGCATGGTGGCAAGCTCCTGAGCCCCTTGGGAGCTGAATAAGAGCCGAGTAGTCCCCAAGGCCCATTGAGAAAGCCCAGCCCGGGAGCCCGTCCACCATGGCAACAGCCCATCCATCCATGGTCCTCGGGCCTTCCCACTGGCCTGGGGCCGGGCCCTGCTCAGGGGCCACTGGCAGTGTGACATGAGACCGAGTCTCTGCTTCCTCATGCAGGCAGGCAGGTAGGCTGGAGGCCTAGATGCGGCTGGACGAGGTGCTGCCCGAGCTGATGGGGAGCCTGGCGCTGTCGGAGCTGCTCTTCAGAGGGGAGGGGCCGCCCTGGGCCTGCAGCCTCATGGACCAGTACCAGAGGAAGATGAGGAAGCCTGCGGGCAGGGAGGGCACGCGCTCAGCAGTAGGGGAGCCGAGCCCCGCCCCTCCCTCCTCCTCCGTCCACAGCCACCCCACCACCAGTGTTTGCCCAGCACGGGCTGTTGGGCACCCATGGGACCCAGCCGCACTGTGCTAGGTCCCTGTGTGGCCTCTCACTGTGTCACGAGCCTCCTGCAGACCCATCCTAGTCATTACTCTTCTCTTTTGTAAACAAGGAAACGAAGACCCAGGAGGCCCGGGTAAGGGGACGTGGCTGAGCCAGGGCTCAAACGGTGTGAACGGGCTCTGGAGCCCACCCACTTACTCCCTGTGCGATTTTGCAACCCCCAAATTACTAGCACTCTGAGGTCTTCCCAGCGTAGCAGATGTCTGTGGGAATGGATGGGCCTCACTCCCAATCCTGAGTCCCCTGCGTCTCACAGGCAGGAATGAAGGCCTGAATGCTAAATAACTGAAATTTGGTAACATCTCCCCACCACCAACTCTCAGCTCCCATTCTAGGGTGACCCTGTATGGGAGGCTGGCCTTGAGCTCCATGTGAGCCCCTGGGCCTGGTCATACACCCCCTCCCATTCTGCACGGCCAGGAACAGGGGTGTGCCTGCCTGTGTGTGCATCTGAATACACACACACACACACAGGTATGTGCCCAGGAAGGGACCCGGTTGGCATCAAGCCAGGGCCCTCATGACCCCACCCCGGGATCTTGCCCCTTCACCCCTGACCCACTGCCCTCTGGCCACGCTCTCCTTCACTGTCCCTCCTACACACAGCCAGTTCCAGCCTCAGGACCTTTGCTCCTGCTTCTCTCTCCGCCTGGTGCTTCCTTCCCCTAGACCAGGGCTCCTGAACCTATCCTGTGCATGTGTCCCCTTGGGCATTTGTGAAAATGCAGAGTCTGACACCGCAGGGCCCGGGTGGCCCAGAGGCTGAGTTTCCAATAAGCTCCCAACAGCGCTGCTGCTGGTCCCACACCTGAAGCACGGAGGCCCTCCATCCCCCCACAGTGGGGTCTTTCTGTTGTCTTCACGTCTCCTATCCAGAGAGGCCTCCCTGGCCACCCTTCTTAGGGTGTCCCCTACCCCAGCCCAGGCCCTGTGCAGCACGGGCTCACGACGACTTCTCGACTATCTGGGACCACTTTTGACGGCTACACACTTGCCCACTGAGGCCCAGTCTTCCCCACTAGAGCTGAGCTCCATGAGAGCAAGGCCCACACCCAACCAGCTCAGCCATAGCTGTGTGGCTTAGCACAGGGCCTGCACATAGTAGGTGCTCAATAAAGACTTGTCCACTATGGCCTGGATGTCCCCATTTTATGAATGGCATGACTGAGGCCTAGAAAAGGGAAACCTTCATGTTCCCCAGGTGATCTCTTCCCTGCCCTGTGCTCCATGTGTGAGCACCATGCCTGGGCCAAGGGACGGGTCTTCTCCTTACCTTGGAAGGAGGTGATGATGCTGAAAAGGTAGAGGACGACAAGCTGGAAGGTTCCAGAAGCAAAGGAGAAGAAGATCAAGGCCCAGGGCAGGCCAAGGACGAGGCTGAGGCCCAGCAGCGTTAGCACGTGTGACCACTTTTGGGTGTGGGGGCGCAGCCGCAGGATGTGCACCACCATGGTGCACAGCATGGCCGTGTTGAACAGAAACACCAGGCTGAAGAGGCCCAGGTTGGTGATGTAGCTGACCAGGGAGTCCCGGATCCAGCACCTGCAAGTAAGGGCCGGGGGCTCAGTGCGCAGCCAGCAGGGGCGGCATTCCCGGGCTGTGCTGGTCCTGTTTGTTTTTAGGATTATTCGCTGTTTACAGCAAGTGCTGCTTGTTTACTACTTACAGTGCTGATGCAATCTTAAAAATACATTTATGTTAACAAGTTGGATTGTTTAAAGGAAAATATTAAGTAAGTAATAATATAGATAGTACAAAAGTGAGGCAGAAATCACCAGGTCACAACGTGAAGGGCTGAAAATTTCAAAGCCACTGAGCCGTTGGGAAGGACCCTTCCCAGCCTGGAGCTCAGGATCCCTGGCTTCCAGGCGGGGCTCAGGGGATCCATAGGCAGGGCCACTGCCAGCCTGGGAGAATCGGGGCGTGGAGAAGGACTGGACTTCAGCCCTACTCACCCCCTGCCTTTGAACAGCACACCGGCCTCAGGGTGGCCAAGAGTAGATCCCTCCCCTCCGGAAGCCTCCGTCTGTCCCATGGGAAACAGAGGTACGCTGAGGAGTGCGGGAGGCTCATCTGCTTCAACCCATGCGCCCATTCACGCATGAGGGAACGGAGGCTCAGAGAAGCCGGCGCCCGTGCAAGGTCACCTGGGGAGTGAGTGCTGGATCCAGGCCTTTTCTCAGCCCCATGACTCTTAAACCAGTGCTCCGGCCACTGCCAGGCCAATTCCTTGAGGAGACTGGAACCCAGGTGTCTCCTGGCCAGCATGACCTGGGCTGCTCCCTGGCCTCCGCACCCAGAGATCCACCTCCCTGCCCCCATCGCACACAGCCACTCACATGGAAGGGTAGATGACACTCTCTGGAGTCCTATGCACAGCCAGGATGATGGGGCCATAGTTGTCCACATCCACCAGGGCCACCAGCGTCACCAGAAAGATGGGGAAGCCTGAGGGTGGCAAAGCATGCTCCATCTCCTGCTGTCTGAGGCCTGCCCCTTCCCTGCTGGCCTCAGGGGATCTGAAGGACGAGGCCCCCTCTGAAGTCTGGGCTCCTGAAGCCCACCCAGCCCCATCTGGTGGAGAAGTTCTCCCAAGCTTGGACCCTCCCCTTCCCTATTCCAGTTTGGGTTTCCTATAAGGGGAAGCCATCTCCTCCAACCTTAGCTCTGCCTTTCGTCAGCCTGGGGGCCCCTGGGAGAAAGGCCTGTGGGTCTCTGCTGCAGGGCTGAATGTCAGG